TATAAGCTACTACTATTGTGAATAACTCACATCAGTACCTCTTTTTTTTCCTTTGTTCGGAACATATCACCACTGCAAGCAGTAATTTGATCTATTGTAGTATATCCCGAGTCCTTAGCTTAGTGCAGTGATGGAATTCTCACCAAAATATCATTTTCGCTTGTGATACGTTTTCTCTTGGGAACTTTCCCTCACTAGTTTCACACTCCAATATTTCCTGAGCGAACTTTCTGGGATGAGAGAATGAGATATCGCGAACTTTTTTAACTCGAATCACCAACGTGAGGATACGAAAAATATCAGATCTTTTTTTCTCTCTATCTCTTTACACCACATTCGTTCTTGAAAATTGCACTGCACATTTCACAAGGGAAAGATTATAGACAGAAAGCTATCCCGAGTAAATCAATACAATCTCTAAAGACTGATAAGTCTGGTACCTGGCTATCTACTGGCGCCTGTTGTTTAAAGTAGCCGTTATCAGGATGATGTGAACAGTTTTGTGCAACTTATTGATTGGTGCATTGGTTTCTGGCAAAAAAATGAATGAATCAGCACAAGTGTCAACGCGACATTAACGAGGAACGGGGAGGGTAGTGTAAGATTTTGTGACTAGCAATTTTTATATTAAAACCGTTCCTCAGGATAGGGGGTTGCGGAAGGAGGAGCGCCTAATGTTTCCTCATTTTCACGAAATACAGTTAATGCATGGCTCCTCTCATCACTAGTGTTCGTAATATCGTTCCTGTAAGCTCTTATGCAATAATTATATGCAGGGGGATGGTTGGGTGGTGGTGAACTTTTTCACTGTGCTATTCTATTACTGTCCTCTCCCATGACTGGGAATCCTGTAAAACAATGTAAAACTAGAAAGGGTCTAGACCCTCCCTATGTAAAACCATAAGGTATGCGGGACTGCTGCACTGCTGAACTTCAAAACGCTTTATTTGCTGACCAAGGATCTGACAAAAACATCTTTTTAGTGTGCAATTTAGGATGATAAAAAATTTAAACAGGTTATTCAATGTCCATTAAAACTGTAAAAAATATAGGCAGAAAAAAAAAGAAAACAAAAAAAAAAACCAGTTGGCTGGAAATGAACACAAAATTAATCAAAGTACCATGTACCTTGAGCTTTTGATATAAAGGGTTTTACGGTCAAAATTTGGTCAATATCAACTTGACGTATTTCTTTCAATTTTGCATTTAAAAAACCTGAACACCCCTCATTTTGAAGGTGTGTGTGTGTGTAGAATGTTGCTCCTATTTTGATTTTGGAATTCACTCTTCAGTTGTCAAAATGCCGTCCAAGCAAGAAGAGCAGCGTATAAAAATTTTGCTCGCGCATCGCGAAAATCCGAGCTACTCGCACGCAAAGTTGGCAAAATCGCTAAAAGTTGCCAAATCAACCGTTACAAATGTAATTAAAGTGTTTGGGGAACGTTTGTCGACAGCCAGGAAGTCTGGATCGGGGGGAAATCGAAAACCGGAAGCCACTGAGACGACAAAGAGAGTGACAGATTGAGAACGATCTAAATTTTCCGTCCACAAGTATTGCAAGACTTGAAATTAACAGACAATCTCAAAATACTTTCAACTTGCAAAGTGATAGATTCCCAAGTAAATACACCTGCTGAATAAAAATTATCAAGTAAACTATTTTTTTAGAATCGATGTTTAATAGATTTTTTTTTGCAGTTTGAGATCCATGAAAAAAGGTACAGTAGCTTTATGGCACCAGTGACCAGCAAATTTAATATTTTCATTCAAAGTTGTGTGGAAATTCAAGCTACCGGGCGAGCTACTGGGTTAAATTGCTGTCCTCTACCTAATGCAGTCGAGTGATCAAATCAGAAAGTTAGCAGATTAGAAATCAATTAATAACTAATTTCCTCAACGTTAAATTAAAAAGTGGTCTTTAGAAAAAAAATGTAGCTGAGAAAATTTCCTATGAGTACACAAGGCAAATTTATTGGTAGATCATTATGGCGAAATTTAAAGACGAGGTGAACAAAATAATCACTTTTCCCATAGTAATACCTTTATAAATTTTAGATGGCCATTGCAGAATGAGATCACAACCCAATAAGCTAAAATTTTGGGAGAATTATCTGAACCTGATTAAAAATCGATTGAAATTAGTGAAGCAAACCCGATATTTTGAACCACCCTAATAAGCATGGTCTCAATGCAGTAAGACTAATCAACAGAATGCTTGCTAGCTAACACTAAACATTTCTAAGCGCCAATCTCAGTGGTCTAACTGTACTTCGCACTAATAGCATACACAGCAAAAAAATAATTTTGATATCACGTCAAAGTGGATGCACTACAATCATGTCGAAAATATGGTGTAATATTACTTGCTAAAAAGGACAAAATTATCATTAATACAATGCATGAACTGACATTACGCTGCTTTTACTGCATTTGTTTATTTATGTGGTCATAAAAATTACATGAAATTTTCGACATGATTGTAGTGCATCCACTTTGATGTGATATCAAAATTATTTTTTTGCTGTGTAGTTCTTCTTGTCGAAGAGTACAGCCACAAATGATGATTTGGTCAGCAAAGATTAGACTCTTGGTGAATAGTTACAAGTATCTACTATTAGCTGGTTGCATTGAGAACTAAAACTATAAATAAATCCGGAAAACTTTGAGATTAGGGCGTAATTTCTTTTGTAAACACACACTTAATTCGCCGATTTCTCGTGAATTAAAGTTCAATCTAAAAAACTAACAACACAGACAGGTAGAGGAATGATTCATTTGGTATAGTATAGTTCGCTAGATTGTGCTTTGATTCGTGAGAAATCGTTGAATGACGTGTTTGTTTACAAAAGCAATTACGCCCAAATCTCAAAGTTCTCTGGAAATGGTATTTAATGTGAAGGATGCGAAAAATATCGGAGAACGAGAAGAAAACAAACAGACACTCTCGCGTGATCATCGCCTACCTTTACTCGCTGGAAAAAAAAAGAACAAAGCTGAGGGGATATTTGGTTGGTTAGAATCACGAGTACGTGTGAAATGATGTGAGATGGAGAGACGAAAGATCTTTCGCGATACGAAATGAAAATTTCTCTCGCTCTACGCTTTCATGAACTTTTTATCATCTCTCGTTCGCGAACTTTTTGTGAGAAGTTCCTTTGGGATTTATCTCTGCAATGAGCTGTGATAGAACTTTTTTTGAAAATGATTTTTCCAACACTGCCTTAGTGCATGTCGTATTACTCCATCACTATTGAGAAATGATGAAGTATTCGGTTTTGATACAGTTGTCATTCTTGCCTTCATCGCAAGGAATCGATTTTAACTGAAAAGTCCCGCTTTTATACCCTTCGGAGTGATGGAACACCCCTTTGCCAGTCAAAATTGGATTCTTTAGCAACAAAAATAATCAATGACACCGATAATGACCATTAGACTGATGCAAATTTTGACATTTTCGCTCCACAGTGCTCAAACGGTTCCAAATCGGGTCCTGATTAGTCTCCCAAAATTTGAACTCATTTGAAAAGAAACTGACTTGGCACAAACCATTTGAAGTTTATATGGAAATTACTATGGGAAATCCAAACTTTGTGTTCATTGTCTTCTTACCTTTTTCCATATTACACTGTTCAAAAATTTAAAAGCTATAGGGTAACCAACTGATTTTGAACCCCTAGAGGAAGTGAGATCACGTTTATGTCGAAATAATATTATTTGTTTTTTATTATTATGCAATTTACATGCGGTTGTGTTCGAAAGCTACTCATCTTGGATGTAAAATGTCACAAGATGTTTTATTTATTGACATATATTCAAAAAAATATTTTTTTTACATCATGATATTCCCATATTTTGGACCCTTCCACTTGATTTTGGACAGTGTCCAAAATATATTTTGGACACACTGGATGTGAACGAATATATTTTGGACACGCTGAAGTTATTTCAACCTATGCTCCTAAAATTAATTAGGATGATCACTTCTTCCTATCTCGCATTTGTTAGGTCCGTCTAGGTGGGAAAATTTTCAAAGGAGGTACCGTAAAACGGGGTGTAATTGATCAGCGGGGTGAATTTGATCACTGAGTATACTCAATTTTGTGCTTATGTATAATATTTTCGCAATGTTTGTATTCTTGTGCTTAATAACGAAAATCATATTGCACTTGAAGAAATATCACGAGAAATTTCAGTGATCAATTTTGCCCCGCTGATCAATTACACCCCGTTTTACGTTATGCATAAGAGTTAACATAAGGAAACAACTGATCGCAATAATATACCATGAAAAAATAAATCATTCAGAAGTAAATCTTAATATGGAGACCTGCCTCTATGCATGCAGTCCTTATTCTTCTTTTTAGGGGCCGTCCATAAACTACGTAGACGATTTTTGAGAGATTTCCCCCCATTTCCATTGTCTCATAAAAAAATTAAAAAAGAATTATGGACCGTAGGCATCTGTCAAGCCCACTCTCCCCCCCATAAAGTGTCTACGTAGTTTATGAATAGTCCCTTAGTTAAATTCATTTGGAAGATAGGAAGACTTTTGGAATTTGGTACGGTTTAGATTTCTGTTTCTAGCAAAATACTACCTTCATTGATTATATAAAACACAACAATGATCAATCTTTTATGTATCGTTTTTATTTTTTGCAGCCTTCAAGAGTTAACTTAGATATAAAAGTTTATTCATATCATATGTAACTGGGTTAAATAATAATATCCTCAAGTTGAAGAAAATACGAAGATCAAAATTCAACACCAGTGTTTCAGCATTACAAGTTAATGTTTAAGTTTACGAGGCGGTTTCTTCTTATTCTTTCTTAGTTCAGCTTTTCTTTGTTTCTCTTCTACTTCCTTCTTTTTCTCCTCAGCTTTTCTTTGTTTCTCTTCTACTTCCTTCTTTTTCTCCTCAGCTTTGGCTTTGTGGTACTCCAGTCTACGGCGCGATGTTAAGACAGCAGGACTACGACGCTTGAATCGTAGTGTTCCTGTACGTTTGGGAGTTTCGGGTGATTCCAGGAATTCAGCAAGTACACTCTTTTGCACATTGCAAGGCCCTGTTGTGTCTCTTTGATCTTCCACATCGTGTTCATCGAAGAGTGGGTCATTCAACTTTTCCTCGAAGTCTTGGAAGAGATCCACTGGTTCAGTCTCCAGATCATAGTCATGTTCTTGAACGCACATTTCAGAAGTCTCTTTGTCAGTTATATTCTGTTCATCAATCAAATGCTCCTCAAGCATTTGATCCTCTGCATCCATCGGTTTCAGCATATTGTAAACTTTTGCCAGAATTTTGTCTTCCTCCGAAATAAAGACTGTATCGTTGCCTTCTCGGTATCGGGTTCGTCGAGAGAGACCCATCATGTCAAGTACTTTCTTTGCGTCGGATTGAATTACTGGGAAAGTTTTCGGACGATTTTTAGTGGTAACATCCATCTCATTGCCATTTTCGATTTGAACATCATGCTGTTCTGCATTGGAACGGTTGCGAGCGAGGCACTTTGAGTAATCCACGTTGTTTTCATCGAACGGATACAAGCCACATGCTTGAAACCCACTTCGAACAACGCGACCATTGACAGATTCCATCGCCCTTTGCAGAAGAGAAGAAAAATGTTCCGTTTTGATGTGCTATTTTGGGTTCCTGAATTTCCAGTCATCCACGACTTTCAGCCATGCCGTTTTCAGCGCCTTAAACACTGCAACATCCAGCGGCTGCAAAATCCTTGTGCAGTTTGCATACAAACAGACGAGGATAATGCCAAGCTTACCACATTCTTCTGCTGTTTCCCATGGTGTGTGCGAAGAGTGTCCATCGACAAAATAAACAACCTTAAGCACTTTTGCTTCGACCAGCTGAGGATGCAAGACGCGTTTGATGTACTTCAAAAAGCATTCCTTATTCATCCATCCACTGTCCGTCTTGCCCAATCCCCATTCAGCTGGCACACTCTTGGTAACTTCCAAAGGGATTTTTTTGTACGGCAACACCACCATGGGCGGAAACAACACACCATCAGCAGAGCAAGTAAACATCACTGTAATGTTTTTCTTTGCCGGCCCCTGATCAACTTTATACACGTTTCGCTCACCTCGTCTAGCAATCACTTTGTCAATGGTCGGATCCAAGTAGAAACAGGCTTCATCACCATTGAGAACTCTTCTTGGATCGGAAAGGATGTCGGCTACCTCCTCTTCACGAAGAATTCCAAAAACCTCCTTAAACCACTTCCTAATGTCGGACTCGGTTACGTTCGCGCTAGCTTTTGTAACACTTTCCGGCTTCCGAACAGACAGTTCAGAGCGGTAACGGTTCAAAAAACAGCGGAACCATTGATCACCTACAAGCAATAAGAATAAATAAGTATCTGGAACAAGCACATCAATGTAACTGGGTTTATTTACTTGGCTTTCCTTTCTTGAATCGATTTTTCTCTGGATGTGCTTCGAGGTAGAGGGTCACCTGATTCATGATTCGGTATTTGGTAACAGGGTGTCCTTTTCGAGCCATTTTCTTCACCCATCCAACAAGCTCAAGTTCGTCAGCATGATCAAGTGCCGGAGCAGCTCCAGGTGTTGTCTGATGTTTAAAGCGATTGCTCAAACGGAACTTGATCGTGGATCTTGGAATTCCGTACTGGCGGCAAGCTGTTTTGATGGCCGTACCTTTTCTGATGGCATACACGCATTTATTAACTTCCTCCTCAGAGTAGGCCACTCTACGTGTTTTTGCCGTTTTTCCCATTTTGAATCGCCTGATAAACAAGAAATATATTTAAAAACAATGAATTCATATATTTTGATTGATTTACTTACCAATTTAATCAGAAATCTGAGAAAATAGCACGATCTACCAACCTGAACTTTCTTCGTCGCACTTTTGATGATTCTTATTTGATAAACAAACAGCTGTCAAAAATGGAAATCTAGGGGTGTCCAAAATAAGTCAGCAACAATTTTTTACGATCGTTTTTGGACACTATTTATTTAATACGTTTTAAGTGAAATCTTAAGGTGAAATCTTTATAAACACGTGAAATACATCTTCCAAAGTCAGAAAAACTGATTTGATAAAAAAAATCATTGAATTGTATATTTCAAACCAAATTGAAAACAAGTCACTAACACCGATTCCTCTTGACAAACGTCGAAATATGAATCTTTTTCGATAATTTTTTTAAATGCTATAAATTGACTAATTGAATACAATTTGAGGTGAACTAATGATCTTGAGACATTGAAAATAATTAATAGAATGTAATTACAACATCAACCCACATGAATTTGCAGAAACTATACAGTAAGCGAGGCAAATAAATGAAAAGGGTCCAAAATATGTAGGGGTCCAAATCAAGTTGGTTACCCTACTTATGGAAAATTTTCTCAGCTTCAACTTAGCAGAATATAGTTGTTGAGCCAAACGTCAAATTAAATAGCTATTAATTGTTTAAGAGATTGATAATCTTTTGGCATGATCAAGCAGCTGTTTTGTGAGCAACACTGTATCTTGCAGTGTGACATAGTAGCCATTATTTTTGTGCTCTATTCCAAGCGCCAGAAACACCAATGTTGCCTGCTGAACAGTTGATTGAGCATAATCGTAAGACATTTGTGGCTTGAATTATTGATAACTTTTGATGCTTACATTATATTGAAAAGTGGTTCAGGACAAAGTTGTAGCTGAGATAATTTTCTACGAGCTTAGTTATCATTTTTTAAAGCAGAGCGATATGATAAATTATTAGATGGATATGAACAAAACATTTGGTTTTCCTATAGCAATTTCCATATAAACTTCAAATGGTTTGTGCCAAGTCAGTTTCTTATCGAATGAGTTCAAATTTTGGGAGACTAATCAGGACCCGATTTGGAACCGTTTGAGCACTATGGAGCGAAAATGTCAAAATTTGCATCAGTCTAATGACCATGCATCAGAACCCTAGTCTTAACCACTTCAAACTAGGGAACAACGAATAGAAGATTAGGAATTGCATATGTGAAGACTAACTAACTCATTTTTTTCCTTGTTTCAAGATCATCCTCGGTCCAGGCAACCCGAGGACTTATCACTATCAACAAGGCATACAAAGTAACAAGGACTAAGATGTGTTCCTTTGATTACTGAACAATCCTGTTCCCTAAGTATTATTATTATTATTATTTAGCTTTATTAAGGAGGCTTCAGCCTTGGGCTGGTTCGCCTCCAACTGTTCCCTAAGTACTCTGAAGTACTCAAGACTAGGAATCGGTGGTAGATGTTACATCCCGTAACGTACCACGAAAAGGTGATCTACCCACGTCAGTATGTATCTCTTACGCATGATGAACCAAAGTGAACATACCCCACTATTGTTTTTCAGTGAATGTAAATAACAAGTTCTGCCAGCTCTAGTTCGTCATGCATAAGAGATTCAGATTTGAGTTTGTGACAAAAAATTAAGTTAATAATATAAACTGCAGAAGCTTAGTGCATCATTTTACGGAATTCTTTTGCTAATAAAAGTTAGAGGAAAATTAATGTTGATGAATGAAAATGATTTACAATTCTGCCCACCATTATTGTTATTAGATAATGTCTGATTGTTGTTCCATTTTTCCGTTATAACTTGCTATCCTTAAAAATACCTCAATATAACATATTCTCCTAGATTGTAATTCTATAGCATAACATAAACCTGTTGGTTGTATCTAAGCATTTCGTAGTCCAAATTGAGAGCATTAAGTTATATTTTAGCTATATAACTAGCTTGCTGGTTTTATTCGGTGCAGCAAATCAAATCAAAACAAAAACCATGGCAACCTGTTGAAAAGTCAACATTCCAAGCGATCCTCCTATTTTGCCTTGTAATAAAGATGTAAGAAATGCTTATTGGATCCACTTAAAGCTTTTTCAATACAAGGTTTAAAGCCGTGATGCCAACCGGATTTATTGAAACTGTCTGCGTTGTTTTAAGAAGGGTTCGTGGATCTTTCGGAATTGTATCGGAAAGCCGCTTGTTCAATATTTTTAAGAGCTCCTTCACCGCACTGTGCCTTATGTTATATGAGAGAGACCATAACTGTAGATCCTCCAGGAATTCCATATTGGCGATCGTCTCATCTGCGTCGTGTTCAAAAGCACTGAAGGGGTTTTTATTTCATGTATCTGAATAGATTTGTTTTTTTATATGTTGGTAACAATTTTCAGAGTATTTTTTTTTATATCTTTATTAAGGAGACTTTCAGCCCTGGGCTGGTTTGTCTCCGGGGAGTATTTTTTGTTATTGTTGTAGTATATTTCTTATCTGTGAATCTTAGGCCTCTGATAAAGATGATAGTTGTAATGAGGCTTTAATGAAGGTCTAAGACTGCTTCAAGTTTTATATCGGTCATGAAAAGTATGCCATAAAACATAATTGTATGTTTTGTTTTGGTTTTATTCTGCAGTAATAAGTAGTGATACAGAACCACTTTACAGCTACCGTTAAAACTATGAAGTCTGAGTTTTAATTTAGCAGTCATAAAACAGTTTTATAGACTACTTGACGGCCTGATTTCATGACAAGCACACAAAACCGTAATATAACCACAGGCTGCAAGGGATGCAATGATAAAACAATGATAAAATAAGACTTGGGTTGTTTTCACATCAAAATTTACAAGGTGGAATTCAACAACACGTTTTTTGCTGTGTTGATTTCCAAATATTTGTTGCTGTGTTGATTATGTTTATTTGGATACCGTAAGGTGCTGTTAAAAGTTTGTTGCCTTAAAAAAATGTTCGAAAATTTAACTGTTTTTGAGCTAACACACTTGTTCCAGAACCTAAAGGTTTCAAGATAAACAAGGGGGTTCCATCTTTTATCGCGTACATAAATCAGGATACATGGCATCGCTCATCATCAGTGTTATTTTGTTTGGCCGATTTGACTTTTGGGAAATAATTAGTGTGGCATAGACGCACACACAGCCTCATGTTCGTTGTCGTCTTCGTCGTCAGTGATTGGAGGACTTTGTCGACATTAAGTATGCTCAATCACCATAACACTGCTGCACTGGTTTGGTTGATTTGGTATTCCATGAAGTAGAAATATAATTTACAGTTGATGAATTCACTTTCGACTCAATTCGAAATTATCAGTATTTTATAATTTGAATTGAACATACAGCAATACAACTTTATGTTTAATGAAATCCATTTATTAGCTTTCGCTGGTAACATGCACCCGTGTATTTACATACAAATTTAAAATTTGAATAATAACGAGGGCTACTTAGGCTGTGTCCCAATT